AGCAATATCAGAAGAAAAAGAAATTAGAGGAATCAGAATAGGCAATGAGAAAAAAAATTATCTTTCTTTGCAGATGATATGATGATATACTTAGAAAATCCTAGAGAATCAACTGAAAAAGCACTTGAAATAATAAACAACTTTAGCAAAGTTGCAAGATACAAAAAACCCCACACAAATCATCAGCATTTCTGTATATTACTAACAAAATCCAGCAGCGAGACATAGAAAGAGAAATTCCATTTAAAATAACTGTAGACAAAATAAAATACTTGGGAGTCCATCTGCCAAGACAAACCCAGGAACTATATGAACACAACTATAAAATACTTTTCACACAAAAAGTCATTTAAACAATTGGGAAAATGTTAATTGCTCATGGATAGGCTGAGCCAATATAATAAAAATGACATTTCTACCTAAATTAATCTATTCCATGGCATACCAATCAAACTATCAGAAATTATTTTATAGAGCTCAAAAAAGTAACAACAAAATTCATCTGGAAGAACAAAAGCTCCAGGATATCAAAGGAATCAATGAAAAGAAATGTGAAAATAAGTGATCTAGCCACACCAGATCTCAAATTGTATTATAAAGTGTTAATTATCTAAAGACTCTAGTATTGGCTAAGAAATACAGTGGTGGATCAGTAGAATAGATTAGCTACAAATTACATTATAGTAAATGACCATTATAGTAAGTGATAAACCCAAAGATTCAAGCTTTTGGAACAAAAACTTATTATTTAACAAAAACTGCTAGGAAAACTGGAAAAATGGCACAACCTAGGTGTAGACCAGGGTGGGGAACCTGCAGCCTCGAACATTAATAAAAGGATTTGTTCTGTGAAGTTTGGATTTAGTCAAAGGGCTGCACTTGAAAACTTAGAAGCCTTGAGGCCACAAGTTCCCCACCCCTGGTATAGACCAACATTCACATTATATACCAAGATAAGGTCAAAATAAGTATATGATTTACACATAAAGAGTATACCACAAGCAATTTAAGAGAGCATGCAATAGTTTATCTGTCAAATTTGTGGATAAGGGAAGAATTAGGACCAAAGAAGATATAGAGAGCATTATAAAATGTAAAATAGATCATTTTGATTATATAAAATTAAAATTTTTGCACAAACAAAATAAATAAAATTAAAATTATAAGGAAAGTAGAAAACTGGTAAAAAAAATTTCAACAAGTATATGACAGAGACCTCATTTCTCAAATATATAGAGAACTGAATCAAATTTATAAAAATACAAGTCATTTCCCAATTGATAGTCAAAGGATATGAACAGGCAGTTTTCAGAAGAAGGAACCAAAGTTATGTACGAAAAGTTATATATGAAAAAATGCTCTAAATCACTATTGATCAGAGAAATACAAATTAGGACAATTCTGAGATACCACCTCATACCTGTCAGAGTGACTAATATGACAAAAAAGGGAAATGATGGAGGTTGGAGGGGATGTGTGCACTGTTGGTGGAGTTGTAAACTGATCCAACCATTCTGGAGAGCAATTTGGAACTATGCCCAAAGGACTATAAAATTGTGCAAACCCTTTGATCTAACAATACTACTGCTAGATTTATATCCCAAAGACATCCAAAAAAGGGGAAAAGGACCTATTTGTACAAAAATATTTATAGCTGCTTTTTTTGTGGTGTCTAAAAACTGGAAATTAAAGGGATGCCTGTCAATTGGGGAATGGGTAAACAAGCGGTGATATATGATTGTAACGGAATGTTATTGTGCTATAAGAAATGACAAACAAGATGATTTCAGATAAATCTGGACTTACATGAACTGATATGTAGTGAAGTGAACAGAACCAGGAGAACATTATACACAGTAACAGCAATATTGAAGAATTGTCAATGACTTAGCTATTTTCAGCAATACAATGATCTAAGACAATCCCAAAGGACTCATGATGAAGCATACTATCCACCTTCAGAGAAAGAACTGATATTGATTGAATACAAACTAAAGCATGCTATTTTTCACTTTCATTTTTTTCTTTTATTCAAGTCATCTTCTACAAAATGACTAATATGGAAATATTTTACGTAACTGCACATGTATAACCTATATCTGAGTGCTTACTCTCTGGGGCGGAGGAAGGGAAAGGAAGGAGGGATGGAATTTGGAACTCAAAACTTTAAGTAAAAATGTTTAAAAATTGGGGAAAAAATAAAAATAAAGACAATAGAGTCTAAACATATATGGTAAGAAAGCTTTAACACTGCTTTCCTGGAAATTCATGGCAAAGATAATGATAATCATTCTTCACAATTACATCTTTCCTCAGCAGTCTAATAGATGCACCTCTGGCATTGCAGAGAGGTCCAAATCAGAAATGCTAGTCAGGTAAAAATCAATCTATGCTAAGAATTCTGAACTGCCAAACAAACACCCAAATGCCAGCCTCACCAATGAACACTAGAAGGGGACCACCCCAGAGCAATGTTTCTATCATAGGCAGGTTCCAGCAGTAGGAGATTATTTAGTGTGTGGGCAAGCAGCAAGTGCTCACCACATGAGCACTACTGAACCCTGTGGGGTGCACCAAAGAGATCTAGGACACCATCCTTGTCCCTGTCCTAAGAGAGTTTACATAGAAAGGGCATAGTAATGCAAAATAATGTGTGCTTTAAGCCCCCAAACAAGAGGGTAAATCAACAAACAAATCAACTAGCAGAGACCACTGGCAAGATACAGATGGGCTTCCAAGTGAGAAGAGCAGAAAGAGAGGAGATAAGGAAAGGTCAGGATTAGAAAAGTCAGGGGATTTGGGGCAGCTAGGTGGCACAGTGCATAGAGCACCAGCCCTGAAGTCAGGAGGACCTGAGTTCAAATCCAGCCTCAGACACACAACACTCCCTAGCTGTGTGACTCTGGGCAAGTCACTTAACCTCAATTGCCTTACCAAAAGAAAAAAAAAGTTCAGGGGTTGTATCAGGAGGGTAGAAGATGGATAGAGAAGGGTGGGAGAGAAGAGGGGGGAAATGAAGAAAGAGTGAAAAGAATAGGAAAGAGAAAAGGAGGGGGCAAAAAAAGAAGAGATGGAAAAGGGATGAGGTGAGGAAGGAAAAGGGATGGAAAGGTGACAGAGGGAAGGAAGCAAAAAGAAAGAAGGACCTGGAGAGAAGAAGGGATGAGAGAAGGAGAAAAGAAGAGGAGTGAAAGAGAGAGTAAAGTACTCAAAAGAGAGAAAAAGGTGAGAGAAAAAAAGTAGAGGAGGGTAAGGCAAAGGAGGACAGAGTAAAGAGAGAAGGAGGAGGGGGAAGAGAAAGTTAGAAGGAGGAGAGGGAAAAAGAAAAAGTGAGAGGAGATAGAAGAAAGGAAAAGGAATATAGCATATTATAGTAGAAATAGCACTGGAGTGGCGATCAGGAGACCTGATTTCTAGTATAGTGCTCATCTGGGGGCCTTGGGAAATTCCCTTCCTCCTCTCTTACTGTCTTTGGTGGCATTTTCTATAAAAAAGAAACAGTCTCTGAAACGTATTCTCCATCATGGCTGTCCTATGCTATGCTATCAAAGTCTCACCTTTAAACCTATACTGGTTCTCTAGCTAATATGCAATGAGTTGGAAGTGAAACTCATTTTCAAGTCAGCTTGCCAAACCCTTATTAAGTGCCTACTGTGGGGGTGTGGGCAGGTAGGGGTAGAAAGGAAGGAGAAAGGAGGGCTGGCCTGTGCTTTCATAGAGCCAACAGAAGCATGCAACAAACACATTCAAACAGGTGTAGTATAAAATGGAATATTTTGTGTTCTGCCATTAATCCATAGCATACATATATAATCTCTTTTCACAGGATTTAAGGGACCTTTAAGATCTTCTAGTCCAACCTCTTCTACTTCTCATTTTACAGATGAAGAAACTGAGGAGGCTCAGAAAAAAAGGACTTGTCCAAAGTCACCCAGCCAGTAAGTAGCAGTAAGTAGCATTTGAACTCTGGTCCTCAGACCTTCCCACCCATCTGCTGCACCATCTTTATGTGTCCCCATAGAATTATAGACTCCTGTGCAAGTTCATAACCTCTACCAGTCTGCCTCCAACTCAGAATTACTTCAGCCTTCCTGCTAGCTGACTAGCTTATCACCATTCACAGGCAGGAGCAGGTCTCAGGGAGATGAAGATGAATCAAATTCAGGAAAAGAGATTTCAGCAGCAAGATCTCAAGCTAGAGCCCCCAGCACTCCCCCTCCCTTTGCTCCCCCCTCTCTCCCCACCCTTTAACTTTGTACTCCTATGGAAACCCGCACACAAATCCTCTTTCCTCTTCCGTTCTGCTGCTGGCCTCACGCCGGTCCCCTCTCCTAGAAAACTCCCCTCTCATCGGAATTGCAATCACTTCCAACACCGGCCCCCAAAATTACTCCCACCTGTTTGGTTTGGTGTCCTTTAAAACCACCTGCTCCACACGGTAAAAGGCTCAGGAAGATGGGGGTATTGAGGAGGGGTGGGAGGTGTTGCGGAGTGGAGCCGGAGAAGGAAAAGCACGTTCTCCTTCCAACACCCTTAGCTTGACCTTCCAGAGTGTTACACAATCAATATTTCTCCTACTTCCAAAAAAGTTCAGGTGGACTCCCTATACACCTGAGATGTCTCCTGATACTGGGGGATGGAGATGGCTGGGGTGAGCAGGCTGTCACACCTCTGGGAACTAGGCTTCAAACCCTGAGCTTTGTGTGTCCCCCCTCCCGCCCCAGAAAACACAGAGACAGAAGGGCTTGGCCAGGAGCCAGGCTAATAAAACACCGAAAAGAGAATAGAAATAGAGAAGAAAAAAAAAAGGAAGTGAAAATAGGAGGAAGAAAGAAAATAGGAAAGAAGGAAAAGGAATCCAGGGAGGCAAAGAGGGCTGTAGGAAGCAGGCAGAATGGTAATAGGAGAAGCGGGGGCAGAAGGATATCTAAAGAAACCTAAAGGGACCCGGGAGGAACGTGGGTGAGGGATGCAAAGGGACTGAAAAGCAAATAGATCACCTTAGGAAGAGAGAATGACTGACGAGAGGATCAGGCAGTCAGCAAAGATCCGACGCACTTGCCTGAACTTGCGGGCCAGTCTTGTCCCCGAGGAAATGGTGCTCTAGGGGCTCCTGGGCTGGACTGGGTGCTCCAGAGCTCTGCAGGCTCCAGGATTCCTGGGTCCGCAGGCAGATGGCTAGGTGTCGAGGCTGGCGCGCCCCCTCGCAGCTGTAGACTTGGGCTAGCTGAGCTCTGTTCTGGAGACTCTCGGTCCTCTCGGTTTATAGCGATGTGTTGGGAGAGAAGGAGGGTACAGGGGGAGAACAAAAAAGAAGGGGGGGGGAAGAGACTGGGGGAGGGAGCTAAGGCAGCTCCTTTTCAGGAAGCGTGGCTCCTAGTGGCGTGTGCGCTGCAGCGCTGGCTTTGGGAAGGGGGTGGGGGGAATTAGAATGGACTGATGGACTGTGGCTCTGGTGGCTGAGGGTGGGCCCTGGGAGCAACTCCGGAACCTCCCCTTCCCACCACCCACCACCTCCACTGGCCAGGGCGCTATCCTGCATTACTCAAATCAAGGCAACCTCCTGTTGCGCCTCCACCTGCTTGCTGCTCTCCACACCCGGGCAGGTATGTATGCCTATGTGTGTATGCCTACGAGCACACACACACACACACACACACCACACACACACTCACACGCAGGCTGGGTTCCCTACAGGGAACTGTATATGCCTGCAGAGCTGCCTAAGGGAGTTTGTTGAGTTGGCTGAACCTTGTTCTGGCTCTGTATGGAAGCCTAAGGGTACAAGGCAATCCCTAACAGGCATGTAATGTTAGGCTAATGGTGTGATGTGGACACACTTTCACACATGCCACCATCATAACATCAACACAGGCCCAGATTTCCAGGCACATCTATGTACCCTGGAGTAGTTTTTCAATTCAAACACCAGCTTGGACAAATGTTTACACATACTCATAAGCACCCACTCCCAGACTCAGACATACAGATGCTCTCCCTAGTGGTGTCTCAGTGGTGAAGGTGGTGGCTACAAAGAAGAGGCTGACTACAACCTGTAACTGAGACCCTTATACACACACATGTGCTCTCACACACTCATAGATGAACACCATTTTGAACACACACTTACAGGTGCACACAGACACATTCTCTTAGACAGATACAGATACAGATTCAATGAGGCGCATTCACAAACACACCTCACACCAACACATTCATGTTGACGTACTCATATTTGCAGGTGTATGCATGCAGTTAGTCCACAAGTATTTCTTAAGCCAATTAAATTAAATAATCTCGTACTATATGCCAAACGCAATGTTAAGCCTGTGGAAACAAAGAAAGATACAAATAGCCCCTGCCTTAGGGGAGCTTACATTCTAGTGAGAGAGACATGTAAATAACTAGGTACATACAAGAGAAATGCAAAGTGGTTAGAAGGCACCTAAGAGGGGAAGATATTAGCAGCTGGGTGTACTAGGAAAGGTCTCCTGCAGAAAGTGGGATTTGAGCTGAGTCTTGAAGGAAGTCAGAGTAACTTAGAGGAGGAGGGAAGGGGGCAGAGCATCCTAGGGATGAAGGACAAACACAGAGAGAAAGGGATGGAGTATCACGTGTATCACAGCAAGAAGACTAATGGAACTGGTTTGTTCATGCAGGAAAGCAAAGTATAACAATACTGGAAATGGATGAAGGGACCAGGTTATAAAGAGCCTCAAATGCCAAACACAAACTCCAATATAGACATCTAAGCCTAAAACACATGTCCTTGAGGCCCTGGGAGGAGAAAAGAATGTAAAGTGGAAAACTGCCATATATTTCTCCCTAATGTCTTAAGTGCTTCTGCTCTACTGAGACTACTGGCTAAAATGTTGCTCCCTGTCCCCTTGACTCCTGCCCAAGGAAGGGTTCGGTTCTATATGTCAGTTTTATTTCTCCCTTAAATCCTTCTCTTCTCAAGTGGGCTTGGGGAAAACTCAATCCTGCATTTAATAAAGTCAGGAAAAAACCTGTGGTTAAAGCATCATCTCATTCATTCATTACATCTTAGGGTTATAGATTTAAAGGCCATTTAGCAGATTTAGAGGCCATTTAGCATAGCCTCTTCACTTTACATGTAACCTACATAAACTCTCAGGGTCCTTATCCCAATTCACACTTGCACTGGCAGGTCAGGTCCTCATAGTAAGTAAAGTTCATCCCTGAGGGGATGGGGAGATATTTTAATGCTGTTCTGTTGTGTTCCCCAAAAATATAAATGACCAGTGGCAGTTAATATTTCCTTAATATTGTCAATATCATTGGTTAGCCCAACTGTTAGTTTAACCAATTAGCATCAACCAGCTTTTACAAAGTGACATTTACTGAGAAGATGAAGCAAGAACATAAGTACAAAAGCATCTCCTGAACTGGTAGTACACTCACCAGTTTCGATTACATCAGTCCCTGAGTTGAGTGAGCTCAAACTTAAAGTGGTTGCTACAAAGCAGTCACCTCACCAAGTTCACTTCCAAATATGTCCTGGCCACCAAATGAGCCACTTCCTTCCTGTGGAACACAATATCTGGGCTACTGGATGTTCTGCTGGCTAGGTCATGCAGGCACATTCCCCAGCGCTATATCAGTGCCCTAGGTTCAGCTGCAGGCAAACTTTGGTGCAGATTTCCACCAAGAATCTCTGTTTCTCCACCATTTTAAAGTCTCACAAGGCCCCGTGCCAAAGGAAAGAAGACACACCCCATACCAAACACAGGATTTCCTGGGCAGCCATGAGCCTATGGGGCAGCCTAGTGGAGAGAAGGGCATTCTGGTTGGTCCCCACTGGGCCTCCAGAGCTCAGAATTGGCCTATCTGTGGCCAGAAGAAAGGAGAGAGAGAGAATTTCTCCAATGGGCCTTTTTTATACATTCTCATTAGTTCAGGCTCAGGTCTTTTCTTCATCATGCAGTAAACAGAGCAGAAACAGTAACAAACCACCTTCAGGTGTTCTTGCACCCTTCCTTTCCACATCATCACAAACTTTGAGGAATAGGTTCACCTATGTTTTACATGATTTCACATGTTTAATTAATTTCATATTTCTTGCCTTCTCAGTGGGTGAGGGATAGTGTGGGAGGGAGGAGAGAATTTGGAAATAAAAAATTTAAAAAGACAATAAAATGTTTAAAATAAATAAATAATGTTTTTAATGAAAAAAGAAATAAGTATCTGTGTGGTACATTATGATCCCAGGACTGGGCTTTTGGTGGCCAGGACTCTCTTTGTTACATACAGATAAGAAAACTAAGACTTTCATCTAGAGAATTAAAGTGACTTGGCTTTCACATAAGTGTAAGTGGACAGTAGTAGAGGTAAGCCATGAACCCAGTCCTTCGCCTCCAAGGTCATTTTTTTCTTTCTTTTGTTACCTTCCTGCCTCTCAAATGTATACATGCAAGTATATAGAAATATATTCAAAACAAATATAAGGTATTTTTAGGGCCTGAGGAGCCCTAAAAGTGGGCTTGGGGAAAACACAGAGCCATGGAGGAATCAATATAGCTAACTAGAGAGAGAGATAGAAAAATGGATAGACAGATCAAGTACATTTGTCTGTCAGAGTTAATTTGCACACTTACTACTTAAAACTTCTCATACCTAATGAAATGATAACTTGGTGAAGAGAATACTTAAGGGAGATATGATTGCTGTATTCAAATATTTAAAGAGATATAAAGTAGGAGAAAAAAGAAACGGCAAACCACTCCAGTATCTTTGCAACCAACCAAACAAAAAAAAAAGCCGTAAGAAGCCACAGTTTTTTGAACACAACAACAACAAAGGAGAGGAAGGATTAGACTTATTGTCCTTGGCCACAGGAAGCAGAACTAAGAGCCATGTTTACAGTTTACAAAGAAGAAGATTTAGGTTTGAAATCTAGAAAAATGATTGAATAATGTGACTATTCCAAAGTCAAATGGGCTGCCCCCTCCTGGAGAACCCCAGACCAAGGCTGCGGTATGACCATTTGTCAGGTATAGGGTAAAAGGGGCTATTGTTCAGGTATCAGTTGGACTGTTGTTGTTTATGTTTAGTTGTTTTGGTCACATCTGCCTCTTTGTGACCCGTTTGAGGTTTTCTTGGCAAGGATACCAGAGTGGTTTGTCATTTCCTTCTCCAACTCATTTTGCAAATGAGGAAACTGAGGCAAACAGGGTTAAGTGACTTGCCCAGAGTCACACATCTGGCAAGCGTCTGAGGTTGGATTTGAACTCAGGAAGATGAGTCTTCCTCACTCCAGGCCCAGCACTCTAGCTGCACCACCAGTTGGACTAGAGGGCTTCCGATGTCCTTTCCTCCTCTGTTATTCAATGAATACTTAGGATGCCATCTCGCTTAATGAATCTTTCACTGTAGGGAGTTGAGTAGTCCACTTTTGTCGCTTTGCAATCAGAATATAATATTCTAAATTTTTCAAAATCACCATGGTCAGTAATGAGCACTAACACTTTTCAAAAAAAATCTTCACATTCCTTCTCTGTGATCACTTCCTTCTAATCAAGATGATAACGTCTCAAGTTGTATTGACAATCACTAGGCAAAGCCAATTGGTCAGTGCCCTTAACTGAGCATCTCTTATACACAGAGCTAAGTGCTAGGTGAAGGAGGAGTGGGATGGAGGAGACAGAAGAATAACCACCTCTTATATTTGCACAGCTCTCTAGGTATATTTACAAAATGTGCTCCTATCCCTGGAGTTATATTGCAGGATTATGTGGAAGTATAAAAAGTGTACTGTGGAGGGGGGATGGTTTGGAAGCAATATCAGAAATTCTGTTTCCCATATGTACTAGGAAAATCACTTGATTTGGCCTGGAAAGAGCACTGGATTTAGAATCAGAAGACCTAGGTTTTAATCCTGATCCTGTTACTACTTACATGACCTTAGACAAGTTAATTCACACTCTAAGATCCAATTTCCTCATATATAAGATAGACAATTGGCTCTCAGGTCTCTGCCAGCTCTAAATGTTATGCCTGTATCACTCTGCATAGATTCCAATTTAATTACCATTCACTGAGTCCTCTACCACATCAAAGGGCATGTGCTTGGTCCTCAGAAACATCCCAAAGTGACTAAGAGGCAGTGTGGGGTAGTGGAAAGGGAGCTGGAATTGAAGCCAGGAATTCTAATTCTTGCCATGTCACTAACTAGCTGGAAAAATCTGACCTTGGCTACTTCTCTTGTTGAATCCCATTTCCTCCATTTATGAAACTGGAATAATACTCCCTGCTATGCTTCCTTCACAGGGATTTTATGACCATAAAATAGGCTTTAAAGTCCTGAGAAAATAGCTATTGATATCATGTCAACTTCGCTGATATTAAGAAGTTTATATCTAGTAAGGAGTTAAACTCAATAGAGGGGCATCCAGTGGATGGAGCACTAGGCTTGGAATCAGGAAGACTCATCTTCCCAAGTTCAAATCTGAACTCAGACACTTACCGGTTGTGTGACCCTGGGCAAGTCATTTAACCCTATTTGCCTCAGTTTCTGCAC